GTGTGTGTGTGTGTGTTTATGTGTGTTGTCTGCATATATGTATCTAGCACATGCATTCAGTGCCATTGGAGGCCAGAAGAAAGCACTGACTGAATCCTTTAGAACATTGTTACAGACTGTTGCAAGCTAGCATGTGGGTGCTGGAACCCAAACCTGGAACCTCTACAATAGCAATAAGTTCTTAGTCACTGAGCCACCTTTCCAACCCCAGATAGCTTCCTTTTGATGGAACATTTGAATCAACGTATAAAAAGAGCTATGCAAAACAGTTAGTTCTAAAACAAACCTCTTATAGTGAAGTTATGGAATACAATGCCTCAAAATGATTGATTTGTAGAGCTTAATTAATGTGTGCTCTGCTTAAATAATGTGTATGGATGTATACACACATTCAGGCTTAAATGACCATAGCAATGGTAGATTCCTTCCGATTTCAGAGAACCCACACTTTAAGCTGCAATTTCTAAGCTTTCAAGTTATCCTCACTCCTTAGAAGCACTGAGTGGTGACAAGCTATTGTTTTTGTCACGCTCCAGAGTCAGTATTAGCCAGTGGGGATTCAGTGATGAAGTTCTAAGTTTAGGCTGTTAATTTTCAAGTCAGTTTGCATACTGTGAGCTTTGTCTTTCGTTCATTACCCTCCTGGTTGGTGTATACTCAAATCTACACCCACTCTGATGAGTAAAAGGACACAATCATGTTTATTGCAAGGAATTGAATTTCTGTACAAACTGTGTGGTGAACTTTTATAGCCAGTGAAAATATCTTTGCTATGGTGCCCCATGGCATCATGTGGAATTCAACATAATAGATCAAAGACATTTCTTAATACTTGAGAAATAAGTAATATAGATTTTAAACTCATCAAGTAGGGATGGTTCTGCCATATGCTCTTGGATATGTGACCTTCCACTGGAATGTGGTCAACTTTTGCTCTTAAAGAAAACTAACTTTTCTTCTTCCAACTATTATCAAAAACCACAGCTCCTTTGCTGGGGGTAGGACTTTGTGCCCACCTCACCTTTCTGTGCTGGGAGTTTGTCTGGCTTGAACTTGCCTAAGTCATGCCCTATCACAACTACTGTGAATTCGTATTTGCAACTGCCCTGCTGCGCCTGGAAAAATGTTTCCCTAAAGTCATTTACCACCTATAGCTCTTGTAAACTTTCCACCCCCTCTTACAGAAAAAATTCCTGAGCTTTGGGAGGTTGAGATGGGATCTAGATGTTCTCTGTAGGATTTTGCCCCCCCCCCAGAAAAAGAGGAGGAGGAGGCCACAAATTTGTGTGGGTAGGGAAAGGGGTGTAGACCTGTGAAGAGTTAGAGGAGGGCAGTAAATATGATTAAAATATATTGTACAAAATTCTCAAACAACTAATAAAATGAGAAACATATACATGAAAAAAGTAAGGAGTGTAGAAGTGCATTCTTATATGTGTAACCTACCAAATTCCAGATATTCTCCTGGTCATGAAATAATCAAATCAGAAATGGCTAAAGCTGAAGAATAATGTAAAAGAACTACACTGAAATATTTGTTGTTTACTCATCAGAAGTCAGTTAGCCTTGACTCTAACTTTCTTAATACAGTAGAAGCACATTGCACAAGGACAATAGGAGATGTTACTGAAATCCTGTGTTCCACATACTGTCAGTTTAACAAGCTGAGTAAGCATGAAGGACTCATATTATTGTAGATATCAGACACCATTTAAGAAATGACTCTATTTTTTTGAAACAGGGTCTAACAATTGCCTTCTGGTGCTAAAGGTGCTAAAATTATAACTGTGAACTATTCTGTCCAGATATAAAACTGTTTCTTGATATACCATAAAACACAATATAAGTATTATTGTAAGATTATTAAGTGAGTATAATACAAGATAAAAACTCAACATAATAGACTTTAAGTTGGAAGTATCAGCCTTTTTTAATGCCCTGCCGATACAGAGCACTTAAGCCATATGCAACGCATGTGCGTTTGATTGTTTAAGTTATTCTTTGA